CCCGACTCCATTTCCACTCCTTCACCTCCTGCTGTGTGGCCACGTGTGCAGGGCGGCCCCTTCTCTCCAGAACCAGCCCCTTGGTGTCAAGGGTCGCACCTTATTCATCTTTATTTCCCCAAAGCTGAGGTGCACAACCTCTCGCATAGGTAGGCGTTCAGAGAAGCACCAAGGGGACCAAGCACACAGATTTCGGACGGACAGGTGAGGCCTTCAACAACGCACGTCCTCACAGCCGCCCTGGGCGGCCGGGCCTGTCACAGCCGACAATGATCCCGCAGCTTCCAGCCACTTGGATCCCTTCCTCTGAACACATAACATTATCAACAAAGGGCAGGAAACGGAACTGAGCTATTTGGCTCCCAGAGATGAGATCACCGAGGCTTTAAGAATAACATGAGAAACACATTTGAGTAAGAACAATGCGGCAATGCGGCAAGATTTCATGAACAAAAACAATAAACCTGAGCAAATCCTGATGGCAAAACACAAGGCGAACAGGCTATAGGAAGGCTATAGGATGCGGGTCAGTACCTAATGTAATGAGCTCAGTGCCCGAGAAAAGCTGGGGTTTCCTTCCTCGCTCGGCGACAACAGCACAGATCTCACCTTGGAGAGCAGTTAGATTAAATTCCCGTTCAGTTCGGCTCACCCGCTGTGTACAGCGAGTCCTGCTGCTCTCCGCACTGCGTTAAGTGCTGGGCACAGGACAGGAACCATCGTGGTACTTCCCCAGCCCGTGCCAACCCCCAGCAGCTCCCAGTCCAGTGGGACGGCCAAGAAAAGCAGCAACTTTTGAAATTTCAAGTGACTTTTCTAATGATGAAAAAAAAATCCATGTTGAGCAAAAAAAGAACATAAGCCAAACTCAACACACTCATGCTTTAGTCTAAAACATCCTTTGAGTTCATTCGAATCCTTATGGAACCTGATTTTGATTAACCAATGAATTGGCCATCGTTTCTGGTGTTATGATTTTGATGTATCCATTTCTGCCTCGAGGTAGGGATGAACAATAGATCCACAGAAGCTGTGAAACGGTGGCGCTACACCAACAATAAATATCCCACACTTTCAATCAGCCAAACTGCACGGCCACCTGCCCCTTTTTTCTTCACTCCGCCCCCAAATTAGCAACCATTTTATCAACAGCCTGCCCGCAAGGCTGCGTCTACCATCGGAACACACTGTCTACCATCGGAACACACTGTCTACCATCCACACCCAAATACAAAACAAACAAAAATAACCCTCCCGCTCCCCCTAAATTCCACAACGTCACAACTAACCCAGGTCCTCATCCTTGGCCTTGCCCTGTCTCCTACTTCCTTCCCCCACAGCCAACCTTTTTCATTGACTCTGCCACCTTCATCACTCCGGCTCCACCTCCCAGTGTGACTGCCCTACCCAGCCTTCCCCTCTCAGCAGGAAGCCAGAGCCTTCGGGGTGGCTCTCTGCCGTCCGTCAGGCCACCCCAACCCCCGGCCACCCCAGCACCCGCAGCCAGCCCGCTCCTTCCCCATCCACGAACCGATCGGCCCTTTCTAAACCACAGTGCCTTCCTGAATCACAGTCAGGCTGGGTGCGCCCTGCTCTGAGTCCTTCCATACCTTTCCAGGGTCCTTAGGACAACGGTCACACGCATTAGCAGACCCTTGAGGGGAAAACAGAGAAATAAAGAATTGCCTATGACGCAGCAGTTCACTTCAGGGTATGAAAGCAGAGACTCAAACAGACCCCTGTACACCTTATTCAAAGCAGCGGTAACTAGAGTCAAAAGGTGGAAGCCACCGAGGAGCCCACCCATGGATGCATGGATGCACAGATGGGATGTACACGCACAGTGGAACAGCAGTCACCTTACAAAGGAAGGAAATTCCAACACAGGCTACGTACAACACGGGTGAAACT